CTTAACCTAATCCAACCTGACTTAATCTAACCTAACCTAACTCACGACCTGTACTCACACTGCCCCAAATGGTCCTTCAGGTGAGTGAGACTTTCGTTCATCTTCCATTGAGTTTGACGATGACAATAAAGACCCCCCACCCCCCCTATCTCAAGGTCTGGTGAGGGTGTAGGTAAGGGGGGGTGTGAGGAGGAGAGGGGGAGGGGGGAGGAGGAGAGGGGGAGGGGGAGTGTGAGGAGGAGAGGGGGAGGGGGGATCAAGGCTATCCATCTCTCCACCTCCCCACGATGATTCTCAAATGATGGTGGATAAAAATATTATTATTATCATTATTATTGGTTAGGTTAGGTTAGGTTAGGTTAGGTTAGGTCAGCGTACAAACAAAAGGAAACAAAACAATGTTGGAGTTTAGACAATGTTGTGATTATCGTGACCTTGATCCTTCATGGTTAAGTGGATCAGAGAGTCCGCCCGTCCACCCACACGGTGATCCACGCATCCACCCACCCATACTCCACGTTAATCCACCCAGAGGTTATTTCATCCTTTGATCCACCCATCCACCCGTCCCAAAACCTGCCACCCGCCACCCATTCTACCTACCCACTCACCCCCCCCTTCCATCCACCCACACACTGCCATCCACTCGCCCCCTTCCACCCATCCACACACTGCCATCCACTCGCCCCCTTCCACCCATCCACACACTGCCATCCACTCTGCCCCCTTCCATCCACCCACACACTGCCATCCACACTCGCCCCCCTTCCATCCACCCACACACTGCCATCCACCTGCCCCCCCTTCCACCCATCCACACACTGCCATCCACTGCCCCTTCCACCCATCCACACACTGCCATCCACTCTGCCCCCTTCCATCCACCCACACACTGCCATCCACTGCCCCCTTCCACCCATCCACACACTGCCATCCACTGCCCCCTTCCACCATCCACACACTGCCATCCACTCACCCCTTCCATCCACCCACACACTGCCATCCACTCTGCCCCTTCCACCCATCCACACACTGCCATCCACCCCCCCCTTCCACCCATCCACACACTGCCATCCACCACCCCCTTCCACCCATCTACACACTGCCATCCACCTGCCCCCTTCCACCCATCCACACACTGCCATCCAATCGCCCTTCCACCCATCCACACACTGCCATCCACTCGCCCCTCCCCACCCATCCACCTGCCCCTTCCACCCACCCACACACTGCCATCCACTTGCCCCCTTCCACCCATCCACACACTGCCATCCACTCGCCCCCTTCCACCCATCCATAGCATCATTACTACACCGCGACTGTACCTGAACTAAACGCCTGCCACCAATGTGCTTGAATACCTCCCACGTAAATGTGAATAACAAAGTGTGAGGCCAGACATACTGCCTCACACGCCTGTTCTCACGCATTTGTGAATAAGTTACCCTTTATGTATAGAACTAAACAAATAATGTAAATGAAATACTGTGTAACTTTCAGTGCCATAATATCCTGACAACGGGGGTTAATTATTATGACCCTTTGTAAACCCTACTCTGTAATCCTTTTGCGCTACCGCTCACAGGATGAGTGTGGGGTGCACAATAAAGTAGCCGCTGCAAGCGGCAAAATCAAAATCAATGCCACCATCAACTCCTCAAACACACGGTGAAAAGTATTTTTAACTCAAAAAATCTTTTATGTAAATAAATCCTTGTAGCCAAAAATAGTCGAATCTAGTTTAAAGAAACATCCCACGAATTCAAAATGGCCGCCAATGTAAAATCCCACGAATTCAAAATGGCCGCCAATGTAAAATCCCCACGAATTCAAAATGGCCACCAATGTAAAATCCCACGAATTCAAAATGGCCGCCAATGTAAAATCCCACGAATTCAAAATGGCCGCCAATGTAAAATCCCCACGAATTCAAAATGGCCACCAGTGTAAACATTCCACCAGCTGATATTCTCGTCTTCTCTATTCATTTATCTCCGCGATACAATCTCTATTAATTACTGCGGCCGATACACCACTGTACATCTCTTTATTAATTAACTTTAATGGTAAAACTGTGTAGATCTGTTTATTAATTAATTCTGGGTATAAAAATGTAGTGGTGTGTCAGCTACAATCCCTCGCTCTTAATTACCTGGTGTGTGTGTGTGTGTGTGTGTGTGTGTGTGTGTGTGTGTGTGTGTGTGTGTGTATGGTGTGTGTGTGTGTATGTGTGTGTGTGTGCGTGCGTGTGTGTGTGTGTGTGTGTGGAAATTAATAGTAAGAGTTATGTATAAACGCCAACACAATATCCAAGTTATTAAGGACAATTTCGGTGTGTGTTTTTGTGTCTGTCTGTGTCTGTCTGTTGTTTGTGTCTGTCTGTTCGTGATCTCCGGGTACAGTTTTAAAGACAGAGAACTGCACCTTCGCCTAGATACACAGCCACCCCTTATTGAATGTGGAATTTTTGCGGTCAATCGCTCCCAAATATGAAAACCTCTTCATAAAAAACACATTGGGAGAGTCAGCCCTGCCCCCCCACAGGAATTTCCGGGTTAAGTTGCAGTTTTGTCATTGGTTAATACTCGGTGAAGTCTAAGAGCTTTTAACCAGCCCTAAAAACCCGGTTAATACCACTGAGTTCGACACAACAATTGAGATGACAACAACAGGTGATGGAACGTGACCTCGACAACACGACATAAACACAGGTGACATTACCAACATGAGGAACATTAATTACGTGTTATATAAAGACATGGTATATATGGGGTTTTGTTATACAGTGACACAGGAAGGACGTCTACTCTTTACTGCCGTCCTTCAAGTCCGTTCCACGCCGTCAATCCGTCGTGAGGTGACAACGATCAGTAGTGACCTTTGCTGGTGGTGGTGGTAGTAACTCAGCTATATGGTGTGATCGGGGTGTGACTGTCCATTATCAGCGGAAGTGGAAACATTAACCTCACAGTGTCCAGACAACATCCGTCGAGGAGCTTCAGTAGACGTACAGTATATATATGTATAATGACACACACTAACACAGCACCACACAACAGCATACAGCGGTAGACACAGCAGGCCGTCATTAGGTTCACAGCCTGAGGGGGAATCAATATCGGGATAGGGAAGATCTTAGTACTTTTATGGTCGAGCTGGCTTAAGGGAGAGCGTGTATCTCCTCTCACTGTCCCTTCTCCCTCACTCTCACAGCCCCTTCTCCCTCACTCTCACAGCCCCTTCTCCCTCACTCTCACAGCCCCTTCTCCCTCACTCTCACAGCCCCTTCTCCCTCACCCCCCCTCACAGCCCCTTCTCCTCACTCTCACAGCTTCCAGCCCCCTCCCACACCCACAGCACCTAGCCCCTCCTCCCCACACTCACAGCCCCTTCTCCCTCACTCTCACTGCCCCTTCTCCCTCACTCTCACAGCCCCTTCTCCCTCACTCTCACTGCCCCTTCTCCCTCACTCTCACAGCCCCTTCTCCCTCACTCTTCCACAGTCTCCCATCCCAGCCAGGCCAATACGACCATTCTACCTTTCCCACAACCATCAATCTCTCTCTACCTCATTACTTCTCTTGCTGTTATTGGCATCATCATCATCATTATTATTATTATCATTATTATTATCATTATTATTATTATTATTGTTATGTCCAGCCCTCAAAGTCACGTATGAAGACATGACATCATTTGCATACGACCTTCAACACGTCAATCATTGCTAGTGTTGGAAGGATCTCTCTCTCTCCTCTTCCTTTCACTCTACCTCTCTCCTTTCTCCACAAATCTCCACTCCTCTCCTTCCCTCCCCCCCCACACATTTTCTCTCCTCCTTCCCCACACCTCTCCCCTAAATAATCACTCAATCCTTACCATTTAATTATCACGATGACGGTACCACAAGGATAAATACGGCAGATTGGCTGACGTGTAAACAAGCCAAACAGAAGTCGGTTCCTCTGTCATAACGTATTGTCCCCCCTGTTTGGGTTTGTGTGTTTGTTTGTCAAGGTCACGTGTTGAGGTGATTATGACAGAGTTTTAATTGGGCGATGATTTTTAGTCCTTTGATAAGATAATTTTGTTGGGTGTTCACAGGGTTAGGTTAGGTTAGTTAGGGTAGGGTAGGTTAGTTAGTTAGGGTAGGGTAGGTTAGTTAGTTAGGGTAGGGTAGGTTGGGTTAGTTAGGGTAGGGTAGGTTAGTTAGTTAGGGTAGGGTAGGTTAGTTAGGGTAGGATTAGGAAATCGTTATGGGAGGGAAGGGTGGAGGGAACAGTGAAGGGTGGAGGGAACAGTGAAGGGTGGAGGGAACAGTGAAGGGTGGAGGGAACAGTGAAGGGTGGAGGGAAAAGTGAAGGGTGGAGGGAACAGTGAAGGGTGGAGGGTAAAACAGAGGGAAAGGTTAGATCACAGGTGTGGTTAAGACACAGGTGTAGTGAGGCAACAGATGACCAATATACAGGTGTGTGTGTGTGTGTGTGTGTTCAATAATAAAACATAACCAATATATCTCTCTGTCTGTCCATTATTCTCTCTCTCTCTTCCTTGCTGTCTCTCTCTCACCAACACAGACAGGCAGACAGAATGATACAGACGCAACCAGACAGACACACACACACACACACACACACAAAACTATAATTTATAAATACTTCCACAACTAATTACAATATTAATAAAGCTAATTAACATCTCAAAAGTTAAAATTATGTTTATCTTAATAACTATCAACACTCAATTCCTGACATATGTATACAAGTGTATATTTTAGTCCCCTGAGGAAAATATACATTGATGTATAGATAAATGTATACACGAGTACATAGATAAGAAAATATATACGTACAGTTTACCTTACATACATACATACATACATACATACATACATACATTCACACAGACATACATACATACATACACACAGACATACATGCACACAGTCACGCCGCCAGGAAGCCAATCTGACAGTAATCTCACCTTTTAATTAGCCTGTCATGGAGAGAGAGAGAGAGAGAGAGAGAGAGAGAGAGAGAGAGAGAGAGAGAGAGAGAGAGAGAGAGAGAGAGAGAGAGAGAGAGAGAGAGAGGGAGAGAGAGGGAGAGAGAGAGAGGAGAGAGAGAGAGAGAGAGAGAGAGAGAGAGAGAGAGAGAGAGAGAGAGAGAGAGAGAGATGAACTTACTTCTCATGACTGATACTGTACACCCTTTCCTCCTATTGTTACACTTGATAACAATTAATAACACAATAATAATTAGAGCGTCATTATCATCCCATTAAAAAAGTCTCAACACTTAGAAATAATTAAACGTTTTACACCATCCTCGAAAAAAAAATTCATACAATTGTAAGTCAGTAACAAAGAAAACGATCGTCCTAGGAAAAAAATTCATTAAAATACCCAACATCATTATAGGGAAAAAAATACTTAAGGTTTACTATGAAAATGACCGTCCTGGAAAAAAATATTAAATCAAATAACCAATATCGTCCTAGGAAAAAAGAAAGAGATAATAAAGGTTTGGAGTATAGTGTTTGATCTTGTTTTTCCCAGGAGGTTCGTCAACTTTTTTTTTTAAAGTGTGACCCTCCACGTGGAAGGTCAGAGGTTGTGTGTGTGTGTGTGTGTGTGTGTGAGTGTATGTGTGTGTGTGTGTGTGTGTTGGGTCTACTTTGCCATAATGACTTCAGAATATAATAACAATAGCAGCCACTGCCAAATACTAATAATACAATAATAATAATAATAATAATAATAATAATAACAATAATACTATCTTACCACCATCACCATTAAGTAGAGTGGGTCAAAACATTATCCCACGTCAGCATTAATATCCACAGGTAGGTCACGGGGCACCTTACCTACACACACTCACCTCAATTAATCTAACTTTCTATGTCAACCTTGAAGTTCCTCTCTAAAGCATATGACAACACTACTACTAGTACTACTACTAATACTAATAATAATAATAATGTTTACGATTATAAGTTAATAGTTTTCAGTCACCCCCCCCACACAGGCAGGAAGGGGAGGGTGAGATTGGTAATGAGAAAGGTGTTCAGTGAGCGGGAATCATCTCACCTGAGGCCACCAAAACGTATGCAACAGCCCAGTGATTGTCTGTCTGTCTGTCTATCTATCTATCTATCTATCTATCTGTCTGTCTGTCTATCTGTCACTAAATTCCCGTCGCCTGGGTCCTGTGTTTTGGTCACTCTCTGAGTCTCCAGAAGCCCTTAACAATTCCCAGAGGTAGCCCCCAAAAGTCCTTCCCAGACCTACCAGCTCACACTAACCCTTATCAGCCCCCACCAACCCACACTAGCCCCCACCAACCCACACTATCCCCCCACCAACCCACACTAGCCCCCATCAACCCACAGTAGCCCCCACCAGCCCCTGAGGTCATAACAGTAGGAAAATTATCAACAGGTCGACCCCATGAGCCACTTCAGATAGGTGACTGAAGGTTCATAATGATTCGTTCAGTATTTCAGCAATGGTTCGTTCACTCTGTACTTAGGTCTCATTCTTCACTCACACACACCCACACACACACACCCACCCACCTCCACACACCCACACCCACCAACACACACACACACCCACCCACCCACCTCTCCACACACACACACACCCACCACACCCACCCACACACACACCCACCCACACACAGTTATTTCATTATTTTACAACAATCTCTCTCTCTCTCATTATCAAATCATTCATCATAATTATATAACCATCAGCTAATCGGATATAATTAATTGGCTGTTATAATGTAATCGTCATGTGATTGGCCAATTAATCATGATTATTATTCCCTTTCCAATAACAGATATATTTTCTGATAGACAATTTATCTATTTGGTGATAGATAGATAGATAGATAAATATATAGATAGATAGATTCACTTAACACTCACTTATAAAGAGGCTCAAACTCGAATAAAAGTGAAACTGTGTAAGTATTTTTAAGTAACAGATACGGGGGGAGGGAGGTAGTGGTCGGTGTGACGAGGAATAGTAAACACGACTTAAGAAAATTATTAAAACAACTGTTGCCTCTATAGTAAGATTATCAGCATCACCTTTTACATAGTTCCCGGTCACGATAATTACTAAGACGATAAATCCCGGTCATAATAATTACTTAAACACAATAATAATGATAATCCACCGAAAACACACACACACACACACACACACACACACACACACACACACACACACACACACCAAAACACAGCAGTTGCCTTAAGAACATTTGAAATTATTATTAATTTCCTATAAGTTGTTTCATCTCTAATCCCTTTTCCAGACTTTCACCAACAATAGTAAATAATAATAACAATAATAACCACTTCAACAAACACAAGTAAACACAAACAAACACCTAGACCACAACCTCATGTTTTGAAAGTTTCTACCTGGGCAAGATCTCACCCGCGTGTTTTTTTTTTTTATAAAGCACAATTTTTTCCACAAGTATCAACACCCCAGCCAGTTAAAACACGTTTATTATATTGTCTTCTATGTCTCTTCTTACGATCGTGAAGGAGACACAGGAGAAATGATAATAATGGGAATAAACACAAGATAACACAAACAACACTAGTGGGTCACCTGGACACACACCTGGGCTCGTCTCGCCTCCACGCTGCGGAGTTCCCGACTGACCGTGTGTGTGAGAGGAGCGTACAGCGGCGTCCTTGCTATCAGCTCCCCAGCACTCGTATGACAGCTTTCAGCGTACCTCACAAACCCTCTCCCTCAAAACCCCCTCCCAATTCTATCCCCTTTACCCCTAACTACCCAATCTAGCCACTGATCTATCCCCTGATATTTACTCTAGCCCCTATCCCATCCCCTTGCCTGAAGTAACCAAAACTCGGCCCCCTATCCCTTCCCTCCTGTTCTTTCCCAAGCCTATTCTTTTGGTTCCTATCCCTCCTCCTGTCCCTTTAAGTACCTCTCCTACCTCTTATCTCCTTCCTTCACTCCTACTCCCCCCCTACCTTCCTCAATCCTCCTCTTCCTCTTATCCTCCCTCCCTCCTATCCTTGCAGTACCTCTCCTGCCTCTTCTCTCCCTCCTTCTCTAACTCCTCCTATCCTCCCTCCATCCCTTCTTCTGCTCCATCTATCCCCCATCCTCTCCCAACACACAGCCAACAGAACCAGTACCTCCCTCCTCCCCCAACCAGTGCCCCGTGGTGTTCAACTTTCATTCTTCCCTCCCTCTCTCCCTACCTCCCTATATCGCTCATCTCCTTCTCTTCTCGCCTCCTTCCCTCTTTCTCACCTCCGTCTCCCTGTCCCTCCCCCATCTCCTTCTCTCCCTCCGCTTCCCTCTCCTCCCTCCTTCCCTCCCGGCCACTCCTCTAATAGCGTCACCTTCCGAGCCTCAGTTTTCATATAGTCTGCCCTGGAGAAATTAATAAATATATGAAACAGAAAGAAAACGTTTATCGGTGTTTACAATGAACGAATAAACAACAACATCGTATAAATAATGAAACGTTGATGGTGAACGTTTGAACATGAGGAATCAAAACATTAGATGGATGGATGGATGGATGGATGGATGGATGGATGGATGGATGGGTGGGTGGGTAGGTGAGTGGATGGATGGATGGATGGATGAGTGGATGGGTGGGTGGATGGGTGGGTGGGTAGGTGAGTGGATGGATGGATACGTTTGTCAATACTTAGTACTTAGAAGAAAACAAACAGTGACAATAAAGTGTGTGAAAGAGAGAGAGAGAGAGAGACAGGTGCCCAGTGTTACCTGAGTCAAGTGTTTACAATAGCTGGACACAAGACACGATGACGGTGGTGTTGTGTGACTAGTGTTGTTGAGTGGGGAGAGGGGGGTAGGGGGGTAGGAAGGAGGGGGGGGTAGGGGGGAGGGGAGAGGGGGAGGAGGTATTGAGGTACATTACTTCAATTAACATTAGTAACCAATAATGCCCAGATAGAATACAAAAGCAGAGGGACCCTCCTGGGCCTCCATATATCCACGACAGGTTACTCCCATCATGTCCACAGCAGGAAGGACATGGCAAGAAGGAGAGCTGAGAAAACCATACCGCCTTAAAGCTCTTCCTGAGAAAATAAAACTCCGTCTGGTGACATCATTTATCACACCGATATTAACTTACCCAGCAGTACCTCTTCATACTATGAGCACCACTCAAATATTAAAATTACAGGTGGTCCAAAATGAAGCCCTAAGATTCGTCACAGGTGAAAGATACCCCTTCACCAGAACCACAGCCGAGATACACAGAGACCTGAGAATAAAACCCATCAACCAGCAGCTGCACACCCTGGCCAGCAGAATCTGGCCAAAGATAGAACGATCAGAGCAAAAACTCCTTCAAAGACCCCCACCAGATAACGACAACAACCATACATGGTTCCCAAAAAGTTGCCAAATCTCAAAAGGTCCATTACCACCCCCGATCTATACGGCCAGGCAATAGACAACCTCCCTAGACCAGCATCTGCCAGTAGGGTCGGCGAAATATGAAATATGGCCCCCAAAACACCCATTTATGGGACAGGGTAGGCTGTCTAGTGCCTGTACCGACAGACAATAACTAACCCATGACACAACCCTAACGCACCATTAGCTTAGCTAGGCGGTCAGCCCGCCCTCTCTTACCTCTTCCTAAATTTCTTCAATTTCCGAACTATAACTTCCTTCCCCCACCTCTAATCTTCTTTCACCCCTCCTTTCTCTACCAAAAAAAAGGGGAAAGAGTAGAGGAGAGATGTCTGACTTTGCTTTGGGAACGAAAAAAAAAACATTAAATAAAAGATAATCTTTCCTTTTCGATAGTATTTCTTCCTTTTGCTACACCTTGTACTGCTGATGTGGGTTTGTCTCTCAAGGCTGCTGTGTACTGCTCTTAGGTTAGGTTAGGTCAAGCTAATGGCCAACGACCCACACCACTCGAAATGCCCTGAACAAAAGTACCAAAGTGCCCCAGGACCTATGGCTCACCTCACCTCACCTCACTTCACTTCACTTCACTTCACTTCAACTCATCTTCACCTCACTTCACTACACAACGGTGCCCACCATAATGCAAACGGGACTGACTGGTTGTGAACACGTGCCAGCCAAGAGCAGATTGGGTGGGTGGTGGTGGGCGGGTGTAGGGTGGGTGGTGGTGGATGGATGCAGGTCGAGTGGTGGGTGGGTGTAGAGTGGGTCGTGGTGGACGGGTATAGGGCGGGTGCCGGGGTGGCTAAAGGAAGGGTGGTGGTGGGTGTATAGGAGGGTGGGTGTAAGATGGGTGTAGGGCGGGTGTACAGCAGGGTGGGTGGGTGGGTATGGGCGGGCACACTCGGCCAGGAAGAAAGCAGAGTAAGTTGTTAAGCCATCGACCTGTACAACATCGCCTCGGGTGAGAAAGTTTCCTTGTCTAATGTTAAGAGGCGTCCACCAGGGCGGGGTGTTGGAGCCTACATCATAACCTAACCTAACCTAACCTAACCTAACTTACAAACCAAACCTTTAACACAACCCGTAAATAATAAGAAAACAATAAACTTTTAATTAAACCAGAGTAAACAACAACAATAATAAAAATAATAATAATAATAATAATAATAATAATAATAATTATGCAACTTTACAGAAGGAAATGGTAAGATGCCTTTTATATGACTTATTTTATCACACACACACACACACACACACACACACACACACACACACACACCACCCACAATAAACTTCACCACCTGACATTTAAGGCCAGGTAGAACGGGCTCAACATTCCTACCTCGAATTCTTTTCCCAGTATAGACAACATCTCACCTCTCTCTATCTCTCTCACTCTCTCCTTCCTCCCTTTCCATTCTTCTCTCTCTTCTTCCTTTCCCTCTTCCCTCACTCAAAACGTCGAGTCTAATTCCCTTTCATCTCGTTATTTAATTGAAACTGTACCTTAATAATAATAATAATAATAATAATAATAATAATAATAATAATAATAATATAAAACAACAAAAACAATAATAATAATAATATAAAAAACAACAACAACAATTACAATAATAATATTAATTTAAAAAAATAACAACAACAATAATAACAATAATAATAATAATAAGAAGAAGAAGAATAATGATACTACTACTACTACTACTACTACTACTAATAATAATAATAATAATAATAATCGAATACGCTAGATAGCCTCAAACATAGGTTGAATGAATATATGAGCAATAGGGGTTGGGTGTGAACGGGACTGCCCAGTATGGGCCAATAGGCCCGTTGCAGTTTCCTCCATTCTTATGTTCTTATATTAATGACGTTACGTACGTACCACAGGACAGACAGCGGCGTGAATGTCATGGAAGGAATGTGTCGCCAACCGTCCTGGGGAAAGATATTTAGGTCCACGCATGGAGCTAATTTCAGACGGGCCAAGACGCGCCAGGTACTGTAGGCCAGCCTCAACCTTCACTACTGTGTTAGGTACAACATTAGTGAATTAAACAGGTGTGTCCATGAAACAGGTGTTCATGACAGGCGTGTTCTTACGACAGGCGTGTTCTTACGACAGCTGCAGTTGCATTAATGATCTTGCAACACCTCTACTAGCCTTCCCTCACCTAGTACTGACCTAAATTTACCTGCGTACGATAACATAACCGGCATTACTATCGTACTCATGGTGTTATTGTACTCAAGGTTCTGATACATCACACTCTAGGGAATAAGTAACAAATGTACTGAACTCCTCGTACTCAAGGGGTTGTCATGGTACTCAGGGGCTTGTCATAGTACTCAGGGTATTGTTAATGCACTGAGGAGGTTGACATAGCACCGAGGAGGTCGACATAGTACTCAAAAGGTTAACAAGGTAAACAAAAATGCATTTATCCATAACACGACCCAGAAAAAGTTGGTGAGTGAGGTGAACTTTGGGTCGAGGAAGTTGTCAAACCAGACAAACAACTTTCTTACTTTAGTCTAAGTAGTTGTTGTGTGACGGCTGGGCGGTAGAAAGTTGTTTGGGATCACCTATAGAATATCCATCCCTAGGTTAGGTTAGTTAATATTTAGGTGAAATAAGCTGGGGTGGTGATTCTTCAGGTGATGACGTATTATGGCGCTATATAAAAATTACCATCGTTAGCCATAACTCCTCTTACGCCCTCCTCATCTACAAGTCAGTGTACGTTTTCTATGAGAGGTTTGGTCACGAAGCCACAATAACTTCCACCTTTTACTAACCTTCAGAAGCCCAATGAGTGTTTTCAGATGTTGTTGCCTCTATCATAATCTCAAGGGGATGTAGCTCAGATGGTAGAGCGCTCGCTTAGCATGTGAGAGGTACGGGGATCGATACCCCGCATCTCCAAGTAACATTTTGTCAGTAGTTGGTGACTGTAGCTACGAAGCTGAAGTCTGAAAAATTATAATAATTGCACTAGAAGTGAAAGTAATTACTCCTAACACCGTCTAGTCAAATTTACAACGAATACAATTTATCATAACCAGATAAGCTGAGGATTTACACACCTCAGCTTATTTCACCTGAGGCTTAACCAACCTATCCTAACCTAATCTAATTGAACCCAACGCTAACTTAACCCAATGTAACCTAACTTAACCCCCCAGGTAGCAGTAGAGTGTTCAATCATCAGGTGAAATAAGCTGGGGCGTCTAATTTTCAGGTGATCCAAACTCCAAAGTATATTATTAA